AAGGGGGTTTTATTATTTGACAATAAATGATGATATTGTTATTAGCTTGCACAAATTCCTACTTGTAATTATTATTGAGGTAAGTCAATCTTTTCTTCCCGGAAATATTAATATTGACAGACCTATGAATGGTAACAGGAACTCCTTTCTACCCAAAGGTACGGCGACATAGTGGTGCATAATTCATTTAACTAATACAAATTTACCTTCTAAATACACATGAAAAAATCAAAGCTGGAAAAAAAACACTTGCCCACAAACAGACACAACGACAACGCTAGCGACTCTTTTTTTCCTACTTTCCCAGAGCGCTAGAAATCGGAAGTCGCTGCAATGTAATTTAATTTATTTACCTTTTTAGTACCCTTTCTGGACCTGTTGCAATCTTTAATTTCACTCTACTTCACATCTGACCTTAGCTTTTAATTCATTTGAAGAGAGAACTACCTCCATGAGTGGCTAATAGTGGGAAGCAAATCAAAAGTGACCTAGCCTACCCAAACCGCATAGTTGAGAATTCGTGGTTGGGCACATTGCGGAGGCATCCCGCATCATTCAAGGGCTCTTTCATTCACCTATATTAAGCGGAAGCACCGTAAATGGGAAGAATTCGGGTCTCCATTTGATCACGCGAGAGATCATATAGACTTGCAGGCAATGGAGACGTTTTTGTCGCTGCACAAAGAGAAAGTGAATATAAAAGCTTTTGATTGGTCGGCTAGGAGATGTTCTCCAGAGAGTATTTCTTCTACATCAAGCAGTCGCCACAAGAGAAAGGGATGTTGTGCCCCTCTAAAGTGGCATAAGTTGTTACCTTTGGGGAAGATTTTAAACATATGTCTATAAGTCCACTGATGGCTCCGTTAGTGATCACTTCATAGAACTTGCCATTGGGGACACCGTCAAGAACCGCTGCTTTAGCAACTGCAACCGTTTGCATTAGATATCTTCCCTCTGTGAATCTTGTGTTTGGTAACAAGTCAATGAATCGGGTTGGTATACCACTGTCGAGACTTTTCCAATGTCATAGGAAGACATGTCAATGCAGGAGGTTTGTTAACAGCCCAGAGATGGGAGAGGAGGCTAGAGGGGTGAGATGTAAGCCCAAAAACAAGGAAACACGGTCACAAATTAAACGCATCAATGAGGCTATATAGTGTAAAGGTATTGCTGTGCCGAAAAAGGAATGTGTACTAAAAGTTATGTAAAACAGCAACTTGCCAGTCAGATAAGTTAATTTTAGAGTACATTTCTATCAAACGTTTTAATACAAGATACCAGCACTCAACTGCCTTTTTATTTTCCAGTTGTCTATTCAATTTCGGATGTAATCATATGATTGTCTGGTCCCATGAATGGGAGATTATCGTCACCTAGGGGAATATGGGGGTAGTACCTCCTTCTCTCCCACCTTCTCTCTTCCTCATGCTAAAATGCAGGACTTCTAACAGATAGGCTTTGCGGTGGTACGAGGTTTGAGGTCTTGCCTCATCTAGTGTCATTCCCCACCGATTCACCTGTGCCGTTTGTCCCTCAATTAGAAGAGGGGGCGAAACAAAAGGACGTGGAAGAAGTTGGTCCGGAACACCCTCGAGTTTCATTGAAGTGGATGGAGTAAACGGATCCCAACCGTAATTTTTGTTCAGTCTTCAGCAAGTAATCCATTCATGGTGAACAACTGCATCTGCATCCTGTTACGGTACACCGCACCACACGAAAGAGGCTGTTATGTGGATGAAGTGGTGCGTGCCTTCGAGGTGTGGCAT